AGTTAGTAGAGTATTTTTTTTTTCATTACTGCCATGCAAATAAATGTAATACAATGCACATTAAAATTAATAAATAAATAAATATTTACAATAAAAATATTTACCTTAAAAAATAAAATTAAGAAAATTTTAAATATTTTAAAAAAATAAATCCAAAAAATTTGAAAATACAACTCAAAACTCAAAATACAGCTCAAAACTTTTTTCAAAACTCAGAACCAAACAAATTTTCTTTTTCCAAAACTCAACTAAAAATTCATAACTCAAAACACAACTCCACGCTCAAATCATGATTCTAAAAATAATTTTTAAAAAAAATGTTTATTTTTTTTTTCTTTTGTAAAATTGAGTTTTAAAAAGAATTTAGTTATGAGTTTTGAAAAAAAAAATTTGAATTGAGTTTTAAGTTGTGTTTTAGTTATGAGTTTTGAAAATAGTTGTTGAATTGTTTTGAGTGCCATTTTGGGAACATAGTCCAAAAACGTGGTTGCCAAAAATGCAACAAAATCCTTTTGGGAAGTGCCAAAAATGCAGTCCTAAAATTACAAATTAAAGCCTATGAAAAAAAATAAAAAAAATAAATCTCTTATGTTAGGTAAGGGTATTTTGGTCATTTTAATTTGATTTGACACCATAAATAAATATTAAACTAAAAACCAAAAAGTCAATTTTTTACCAACTTCCCAAATCACTTTCAAAAAAGTCAAAAAATTTGGTAAAAAGCCAAAAGTTAGCTTTTTACTAACTTTCCAAAACAACTGTGTATTTGGTTATGAGTTTTAAAATTTTCTGATTGGAATCGCATTTCCAAAACAAAACTATTTTTTGTGAAATTAAATTAGCATAAATTAACTTTGCACCCTTGATATTTTAATAATATAAGGTTCCAACAAATGATAAAAATTCAAAATCTAACTATCAAGTAATGATAATTTTTAAAATTTAACTTAAGCATTTTTTAATTTTAAATAAATAGTTATTGATATGAATTTTGACAGTCATTGATAACGAAATGAAGACCTCTGTTCTTTATATGAAATGGAGAGGATCTGAAATATCTTAATGAAAAAATCAAAAAGTTAAAAAGTTATTACATATCGCCATATCATTCTTTTTATTTTTTTACATATCTTTTTATAAAAAAATAAAAAATTATTAAAATAATTTATATCCATTCATTTAAACAAAATCCAAGTCAATCCTATCCTAAATAAGCATAAAGATTCGTTCCAAAAAAAAAAAAAAAATTAAATTAAATAAAGTAAGCATAAAGATTATTATACATCACTTTGCCAAATTGAAGGTTTCATTTGATATGAGTTATTTTGATTAAATTAACTAATAAAGACAAAATAGGCTAATTTAGCCAATAAATAAAATGTTACATTTAAATTATAATCATCTCATATTTTTTATCACAACCATCAAATCAACTACAAAAAAAAAGTCAAAATTTATTTCAAATATAACTTTTTTAATCAGACTTAAATAGTCAAAAAGTCAAGTTAAGTTAGCCCATTCCAAACGAGGGCTAACATATAGTTTTAGTATGTTTTGATAAAAATTAGTTGTAGTAACAATCTTAAGTACTTAACTTTAAAAATTAAGAATTTAATGATAAGTTTCTTCATTAAAATTAGGTTTAACTATTTGGTGATAAATCAAATATCTCTAACTTAAAAATTAAAATTAATTTTCGATTATATATTTGTGTGCAATTAAATGCACTTAATACATTATTCATATAAAATGTCACTTAAGAGAGAGGGAAAAAAAAACCCATAATTTGAAGTGTTTATATTAAAATTTTAGTTTTTATTATAAATTAGGGATTTTATTATAATCAAATTTAAATATTTATTTTATAATTATGTAAAAACCTTATAATTTAGTATAAATCATATTATTAGTGCAAAATTTAAAATATACAATTTAGTAGTTTTTTTTTTTTAAATTCTATGTTTAGTATCTATCTATCTATCTATAGTATGCTATTATATTGTGAAAACTAGATTTGTTGTTCAAATCTTCAAATTTTCTCTTTTTTTTCCCTTTTTTTTTTTTTTTAAAAAAAAAAAAAAAAAAAAAAATAGATGGCAGGAGTGAGACTCAAACCTTAGTCAACTAAAGAAAATTCTTACCACTTAAATAACATACAACACGAAAAAAAAATAGCATACAATAGATAATAAATACATTATTTTAGTTTTACTTATTTAAATTACACATCTATTGTGTTTTTCAACCACTAGTTTAATTCATTATGTGCATGGCACAATACAAATTAATTGCAACTAGTTTTTATATCAACAACACTATAAATTTAGACTTGTGAAGTCAAAGTTTATTCAAAACAAAAAAATCAATGATTCAAATTCATTTTATTTATAGATTCCATATTTCATAAATTTAATCTCTGTCATATAAATACATTCAAAGTAAATTATGAATTGATAAAGATGAATTCATAACATTTTTATTTTTATCTAGATATGATCTTCTAAGAACTCAAGCCCAAGCCCAATAATTTCTTCCATATTAAACGACATATCCAATGTTCTCCCACTACATATAAGAAAATTATTAGGTAGATTAAAGTAGGGTTAATTACAACAAGTTCCTCTCAATTATTAATAATATCATTTTACGTTTATCATTTATGAATATGTATATATTGATCATATAAATATATTCCTTTTGGAAATTTTTTGGAAAGATAAAAAACAGTGATAAATTTTTATAGTTAAGAGAGTCAAACTATACAAATTCTTAGATGAAGATGAAAAATTGATATTCGTTAATAATTGAGAGTGTTTTAGTGTAAGTAACCCATTAAAATATAACGTAGTATTATTTACATAATTTTTCAAGAAAAATTACAAAACGCATTAATTGCGTTGTTCATTCTTTCAACCACCTAATGACAATAGGCTTTTTTTTGGCTTTTTGAACTAAAATATCACTAAAAGATAAAATAGACTAAAATAATTAATGATACAAAATATCACATCAAATCCAAAATAATTTCACTTTTTTTTCTCACAATTATCATATGTAAAAAAATCTAATTCTATTTCCAAACACAATTATTTTAACCTACTAAAATAACTTATTAAAATAGTTACGTTTTGGCAAGTTGGTAAAAAGTCAATTTTTTGATTTTTTAGTTTTTCTAGGTCATATCATTTCTCTACTTTTTTACACTAAAAAAGCCAAAAACCTACAAAAAAAAAAAATCAAAAAATTAACTTCTTACTATCTTTCCAAAACACTACATTGTCTAAGAAGATTACCAATGGAAATCATAGTATTATGATCTCCTTTTTGTTTCCTTTCCCTAGCAATTCAATAGCCAAACATGACATTAATTTATTTGACTAGTTCAATCGGACATTCATTTGCACTTTGAGTGTTTTGAGAAAATGATTAAAAGTTGATTTTTAATTTTTTTTTATATAAGAGGTGATATAACTATAATGAGTTAAAAGCTGATTTTTAATTTTTTTTATAAAAGTTTTCAAATGACCCTTTATATGGGACATTTGGGGTCATCCATGTCAAAGACACAAGAAATTGTCGTCTTGGCCCCACGGAAATAACGTTGTAATTTTTTCATAAAGTAACAAATAGGTTTTTATTTTTTTTTATAAAATATCAGAATAAAAAAATTATTTAACATACACAAACATTTTGAAAATAAAAATAAAACAAACGTGTTTGGTGAGTTGTCAAATGTGGTAGTTGGTGGTGGAGAGTGGCCATAAATGGCGGCCGGAGTGTCACAAAAAGTTACACTTTCCACCATTGAAATTCCTTTGGAATTTAGTGGTGAAGAGACCAAACAAAGGTGGGGCCAATGGCCTAAAGTGATGGATGGCAGCAGGGGGTGGGAGTGAGAAAATTGAGTAAAATTTGTTTTAAAAATATATATATATATATATTGTTATTTTCAAAAGTTTCAAAAAGTTTAAAATCAATTCCATTTTTGTAAAAACATAGATAATTTATTAAAAGAGATTTTGTTAACAATTTAAAAAATAAAAAACAAAAATAAAAACACAAGAAACAAAAACTTTAACAGACCCCTAAATAGTGTCTCTTTATTACACACACTGTGTTTGTTGAATGGATATCAATGTCCCAATCACGTACTTGTTTTCAAGAAAACATTGAAAGAAATCACAGCTTTAATGGGCTATTCAAAATACATAAGACTTAAAAAAAAAACACAACCCAAAAGAAAAATATCAGAAAGAAAACATCACATCCTGTAACATACAATGTCTCAATCACATACTTATGTTCAAGAAAACCTTGAAAGAAATTGCAGAATTGATAGGCAATTGAAATACAAAAGACTTCAAAGAATTTGGATCATCGGCCGCCCTACCCGGCAGCCCCCAAAACGACGTCGTTTTGGGGTTTTTTTTTTTTTTTTCGAATGATGGGCTGATTCACTATAGTTTATTAGATTGGAGAATTAAGTTGTTATATTTACCAACCCACCTTAGTGGGATTGGTTGGTGATAACAATGAGTGGCATTAGTTTTGAATAGGAATGCTCATTCTTTTATGTAAATATGAGAAGTGAAAATTGAATTGTTTTGATTAGGAATGTTTCATTCTTTTATGTAAATTTGAAGGGTTCAGTTGCAAGCCTTTGTATATAATTCAAGTCTTGTTTGAGTCATGTACTCTTTTCATTTTCAAGTCTTTCTATACACTGTTCTGTAACATCATGTCCTTTGAAAGCTTAAAGATGGTTTGGTTTCTTTCTGATAACTTTCTTTTGGGTTGGGTTTTTTGAAGGAGCAAGGATCCTCGGCCGCCGTTTTCGGCAGCCGTTCCATCAGCCCCCCAAAACGACGTCGTTTTGGGGGGCTGATGGAACGGCTGCCGAAAACGGCGGCCGAGGATCCTTGCTCCTTCAAAAAACCCAACCCAAAAGAAAGTTATCAGAAAGAAACCAAACCATCTTTAAGCTTTCAAAGGACATGATGTTACAGAACAGTGTATAGAAAGACTTGAAAATGAAAAGAGTACATGGACTCAAACAAGACTTGAATTATATACAAAGGCTTGCAACTGAACCCTTCAAATTTACATAAAAGAATGAAACATTCCTAATCAAAACAATTCAATTTTCACTTCTCATATTTACATAAAAGAATGAGCATTCCTATTCAAAACTAATGCCACTCATTGTTATCACCAACCAATCCCACTAAGGTGGGTTGGTAAATATAACAACTTAATTCTCCAATCTAATAAACTATAGTGAATCAGCCCATCATTCTTGTTAGCTCCCAGAATAGAGAGAGGAGTCAGTACCAAAAACAAAATATTCAAGGACCATCAAACATGCACTTGAGAGAAAAAGAAAAAAAAAGAAAAAAGAAAAACAGTTCCAATTCAAGACCCCGATAAACACTGCCTGGATGGATGTATGGTTGCATTATCATCTTTCAGGTTGCAGATTTGCATAACCAGCACAATCCTTAAAGATCCAAATTAAAATCCAAATCAGAAAAACCCAAATCATTCGAGGCAAAATTGTAGTTCTCCTCGCCTCCGTCTGACCTTGAGAAATCAAAACCATAATCCACTCCTGCAGGTGCCTGCTCCATATGCTGCAAACTACCGAGCAACTTTGCATCTGGATTCTGCAACTGATGTGATAAATCTGAGGGCTTTTCATCTTGCAAATTACTGTAGTTAGCACATCCAACATTGCCAGAATCATGCACAGGCTCTGATTCATAATCAGAGTCTAGAATACCCATTAGGTCACCCACATCAAACATCTCATCCTCAGAGAAATTTAGCAAATAACTGAGTCTGTATTCAGATTTCCCATTAAAATCCGCTGGATCTTCCTTCCCATTAAAATTCACAGGCTCCTCCTTTGCTTCCTCCTTCGCCACACTCATTGGGGTTCTAACTTCATAGTCTGTTTTCCCATTAAAATCCGTTGGCTCTTCCTTCCCTCTGTAATTCACTGGCTTCTCCTTTACTTCCTCCTTCACCACACTCATTGAGGTACCAACTTCATAGTCTGTAAAAGGCCTGTTGCAATCAATTTGTGATTCACTTTCACCATCCTCATGCTTGACCTTAAGAGCATTGAGTTTCACCTTCAAATCATCAGAGTGGCTCGAAGTTGTTGTGGAGTTGGAAACTGATGTACTTGGCAGGGATGCAGATTCCTTGGAAGATTCACTCGAGAAGCCACCATTTGGAAAGTTGAGGTGCGCGCGTGGACCATACATTATTTTTGCTGCTTCATCATAGACAAGAGCAGCTTCAAGGGCAGTGGGGAAGGTACCTAACCATAGCCTCCGACCCCTGTCTGGCTGCCGAATTTCGGCAACCCATTTACCCCATGTCCTCTGCCTAACACCTCTGTAATTACAATACGTGTTCTCTGGACCTCCTTTACCCTTCATACATCCTTTTCTAGATCCCTTGGCCTGAACTTTACACACTGGCTTTGGACTGTCAGCCAAAGGATCAAGTCTCTTATTGTATTCTTTCCACTTAGCTAAGGTTTCTGCTACAGATTCGGATCCATCCCGCCTACTCCTTGACTTCCTCTTTCTGTAATAATAATCCAAGGCACAAAAGTCAAGTTTGTAATCCTGTAAACAAGATAAATAATGCTTTGACAAATTTCGAAACAAATAGGAATTTATATGTAGCATAGCTATATGAACTGATTCAAAATGAACAAGCAAGACTCCAAGACAGTTCTCCAAGAATCTAGTCAATGGACAACAATTTGATAAATAAACACTATTGTTTAGAAGTCGAATTCAACAGAGTACCCCTGAAACTTGACCACATTATAGCATCCACCCCCCCCCCCCCCCAAAAACCCATACCCAAAAAAATTAAGATCCTATAGTTTATCAAAAACCAATAAAACTATTCACCCAAAAAAAAAAAAAAAAACCAATAAAACTGAGAACCCAAAAAAAAACTAATTCACCTAAAAAAAAGATCCTATAGTTGATCAAAAACCAATAAAAACTATTCACCCAAAAAAAAAAAAAAAACTGAGAACCAAAATTTTACTCTCTCTCATACCATGGAAACTTGAATACAAAAATGAGTACATTCAGCCAACTGTTTGGTTGCACAGAGAGTAGGATTCAAGAAAAGAAAATGAAGCCAACTTCAAATTCCTTCCAAGTTGCTTTCAGATAACTAAAACCCTATTCAAGAGGCAAGTGTATTGGAGGTCTTAGTTTGCTTGGTAACCAAGTAATTAAAATATCCACGTTTTTTTTTTCCTTTTCATTTTCTCAGAAACCAAGCAACCACGAGAAATTTCCTAAGAACTCCAAGAAATGATAACATACCAAATTTCCAGTTGCAGAATCACACAAATCATTTCTATTCTATAGTCATAAACACTCAAATTTTTATAATCAATCAGAAAAATCACACGTAACCCTAGTTCCCAAAACCCAATCAATCTTGTAAAAATAAAAATTAACCTATTCAAATTAAAGATTCATCACAAAGAAAAAATAAATTCATCAAAAGACAAAGATCACGAGCACACAATCACACATGCATACATTTAAATATACTAAAGATTTATACAATTATAAACATTGTGAACAATGAAATCAACCAACCTTTCAGTGTTTTCAGACATGTGCGACGAAAAACGTCCTTCTGATGCAAAATATTCCGAGCTTGTCTCTCTTCTCTGCTACGAAAACTAGGGTTTCTTCTTCTGTGTTGTTCTTCTCTTCGTTCTGGTGTGATTTTGGCTCTTGTTCTTCTGCTATGCTGGTTTTGGGATGCTTTTTTTCACGTGAATCGACAATCCTCTTCAGAGCTAGCTGCGAGAGATACTTATAGCCTTCTCTAGATATTTCTTAAAATAAAAATTAAAAAAACACGTTACTTCGTTATTAAGTTTATTACATTTCTACCCTAAAAGATCGTTAATTTATTTATTTAGTCCCAAAATTATAAATTAAAATTTATTTAATTTCTAAATTATCAATTGAATCTATTAAATTCTTAAAATATTTAATTTAAACTTATTTAATTCCTAAAAATATTATAAAAATAAAATATATTCCCATAAATATTATAAATTAGTAAAACACCTCCTTAATTAAGATTTTATTTTATAAAATTTTAAATTTTATTTTGTCTATAACAGACGTTTTTATTTCGTTCTGCATTTAAATAATATTAAAGTCTGGTTTTACAATCTTTAAAGTCTGGATTTACAATCTTGTCAATAAATTATATGAATATTAGATATATTGAAGAAGTACAATTAGATAATTTAAATAATAATAATTCGTTACAACTAATAATAGATCAAAATAATGTATTAATTAAGTAAAAAAAAAAACTTAAGAAAAAGCTTAAAAACAATCAATTGGAAATTATAAACGACATTTGACATGTAATACTAGAAAAAAGCAAGCACGTAGTCATTGAGGATAAGTAAGAAAAGATTATAGATAAATTATCTTTACCGCTATAAAGGAAATTCACCATAAGAACTGATACCATTTTTCAAAGATAGAATAAAAATTTTAAATTTTTTTAAAATAAAATTTTAACTAGCGGTATTTTATTAATTTATTTATATTTTATTTTTATAATTTTTTTAGACACTAAATAGATTTAAATTAAATAGTTTGTCCTCATTTGGCAAGTGAGTTGGTTTTGAGTTAGGATTAAAAAAATAAAAATAAAAATAAAAAGACAAAATATGCTAAATAAGATAAATATTACATCCAAATCATAATTATTTTATTTTTTCTCTCAAAAAAAATTAAAAATATTAAAAAAGCCAAAATGTTCTAAATTAGCCCAAAAAAAAATAATATAAAAAGTCAAGGTAAAAAGTTTTTCCCAAATGATAATCGATTCAATCAATATTTTAAAGATTAAAAACAAATTTTGATTTATATAGGGCACATTTGGGAAAGAGGATTTGGGGCTTTTTTTTGGTTAAAATAGCCACAAAAAATAAAATAAATTTTTTTAGCACAAAACATTATATCTAACCCATAATCATTATATTCTTTCTCTTATAAAAAGTTAAAAAAGCTAAAAGTTCTTCTCAAATGAAAATTTTTTAACCCCAAATTAAAATAACCAAAAAATTTAAAAAACTAAAAAGTTAACCCACTTCCTAAACGAATCCATAGTTTAGCAACTTGATAGACATAATTGATAGTTTGTAAACTACATAGATAATATAATGATAGCTTAAGAATATAAAATGTAATAAACCCTTATTATTTATTTTAATGAAGTGATGATGTGGTGAGATTCTAGTGGAGCTATGGCCCTTTGGGCAGCCAAATATTTCGGCACGTGTCACCCGAATCTTCGCCTCTCTCCACATCGCTTTCTTGGGGCCGAAGTGCTTGATTTTCCGTTTCAAGGTGTTGTTTGGCAACTTTAAGTATTTTTTTAACTAAAATATCTAGTTTAAGTTTTTTTTTTCACATAAATTAAGGTTTTGTTTGATAACTTTCAGTTTTAACTAAAACATTAAAAAATTACTATAAATTATCACATCAGACTTTTTATTTTTTTATATATCTTTTAGTAAAAAATAAAAAAATTATTAAAATAACATGTTCCGAAACGAGGCCTAAATAAACCTATTTATTTTAATAAATGTACTTATTTAAAATATATTATCTCTTTATTTTTTTATAAAAAATTAAAAAAATATATTTATTTACATCATTCCAAACAATCCTTTAATTTCAGTCTTGCCATTATTTGATTACTATATTGCCCCCTAGTTTCGAATCAAAGTGCCACTCAAGCCGCGTATCGAGGGTCATCAAAAGGCATTTAGCAATGTGGCTACACGTGATTGTTGCAGTTAGGAATTATCCATAAGCATGTAGAATTTTCATAGAATTCTCCATAAGGAAACGTCCACATGGGTGGCCATTGGCCCCATGACCCATCTACGTCCAAGCGAGTTTGGTATCTTTGGAGCTTGAAAAAGTTATTGTGCCCGTGTGATCGAGGTGGTTGAGATTTTGTATTTATTTAATTTAATATTTAAGTTAAAAGTTTGAGGCAAGGAGTTCTAAGTTAATTTAGCTTAATTTGTCTATTTATAAAATATTAATTATAATTTTATATTATTTTAGTTATAAAATAAAGTATAAAAAATATAAAAGATGAATATATATATTTTTTTTTAGGATTTAAATTAAAATATTTGTTAAAAATCATATTTATTTTATCATTCAATTTTGTTAACGTTTTAAATTTAAATAATAATTAAAAGTATTTAAATAATTTAATACAAAAAATAAAAAAGTAATTGCTCATAAGTGGGTGAACTTAGATTTGAAATTTCTTTAATATTAAATATGAAATAAATAGATTAAATCCAATGTCAAGTCAGATTATACTTAAGATGACACATATTGGAAGAATTTTATTTACACTCAAAAATTATTTAGTACACCTAATTAAAATTTTAGTTTCTATTATATCAATGTAAATTTATTAATAAGAATAATATATGTTAAACCTTAAAATAATAATTTTTTTTTATGGTACACCCTAATTACATATGCGTATTCTTCATCTTCTTTCCCAAGTTTTAATTGTTTTCTTTTCTTCTTCTTACGTACTCCAAAACTCCAAACCACTCCACCAAAACTTACTATTATCGTTAGTATTATTGTTTTTTTTTTTTTTTTTGCTTACGAATGGAAGAAGAATTGAACAAAATCAAATAATAGATATAAATAATAATCAAAATTATTTTTTGAAACAATCCATTGAAGATGAGGTAAGTATTTACATACTAGTATTGCAATTCAAGTCAAAAAAATTATATCCACTTTCTAGATCCAGTGATATGGCACTCTATTAAAATATCTTGTCAACTCTCTCTCTCTCTCTCTCTCTCTCTCTCTTATTTATTATCTGATTATCAAATAATCATTTTCTTGACACATTACTGGGCCTAGAAAATGAGTCTAAAAAGTAAGCTTGTATATAATTTTCCTTCACATAAGTATAAAGATACTATCTTTGAATTTTTGTTTTTTTTTTAAAATCTAAAAACAAATATTTAGCTTGTTTAACGTCATTGTTGTTCTGACTTTCAGATTCAAACAAATTCATTTTGTTCAGCAAAACAAAGTCAACATGTATGGATCTAGAAGTCTAAACTGAACAATATAGTTTAGCATTGTAAATCCAAACATAATGACTTTGTTCTTGTTTGGGTATACCTTGAAGAGTAATTTTTAAAAAAAAAATAATAATTATATAGTGTACTGAGAATAGGGGTGCTCGTGGTTCGGTTGCAGTTGGGGAAAAAATCAATCCGCGTCTGTCCGCCTACTTGGCGGATGGATGCGAATCGGTTTGGCGGTTTAAACTTTACAAATTTTGAACATAATACAACAACTTGTCAACATTTTTTTTGGATAACAACCCAACTCAACATAACCAAAAGATTATCAAGTAAATTATCAAATACCAATAATAAATACATATAAGAAAACCATGCATTATCAGAACTATTTCATTACTTTTTTTTATTCAAAAACTATTTAATTTGATTTTTTTTTAAAATGACAAAATTAAACCTTATATTATTAAAAAAAATACCAAATATCAACACTTATCACTTGATAAAAGGATTTCCAAATTGAAAATAAATTGAAAACACAACAGAATATTTAGCCTGTGTTTGGCAAGTGGGTTTGCAGGTTTTTTTGGCTATTTTAGCCATAAAAAACAAAATAGGCTATTTTAGCCATAACAAACAAAACATCACATCCAACCCATAATCATTACATTCTTCTCTCACAAAAAAACTCAAAAAAGTCAAAAAGCCAAAAAGCCCTTCCCAAACCAAGCTTTTAAGCCCAGGCTAAAATAGTCAAAAAGCCAACCCACTTCCCAAACGGAGGCTTAAACTCTTTTTTTAATTGAAAATACAAACAGAATATCTAAACAAATTGAAAACACAAAGTCTTACAAATTACTTGAGGTGCTTGTGGTTTGGCGGTTCGGTTGCGAGCAAAGGAATCTTAAATTCATCATCCATCCAAAACTAGATAGATTGAAAAAAAAACCAATCCGCAATTGTCTACTCGTTATCACGCATCCGTCCAAAATGCAGTGATTCAGTTCGATTGATTTGAACGGATCGAAATATCCGCTGAGCACCCATAATTGAGAGTAACATAAAACCCTAAATAATTGAACAGAATATATTGAAAAATTAAGAATACTTAATAATTTTTTAAGTGTAAATAAAATCCCCCACATATCCTCTTACTAGGGGGTGTAAAAATGGCTTACGACCTGCCTGTGACCCAAGGTGGACTTGGTCTAGTTAGGCGTAGTCCTGAGCTCAGTCTAGGACCTTGGGCTTGGGCCGTCATGTTGAAGCCCTGTTCAACCCGACCATTGAATCCGGCCGTCTGGCCTGCTCAATGCCCGACCCAAGGTCCGGTGTCATTTTTGGTAGAAAAGAATAAAATTTTGGTGAAAAAAATAGGAATTTTTTTTTTCCCCAGACTCACCCAGGCCCAAGCCTGACCCTCCGTCTCGCCTAAAGCCCAAATACCCTATAAGCATGAGCCTAATTTTTTAGTCCATAGATAGACCTGGCACAGTCCTAATTTTGACAGAGACCCACACAGCCCGACATGAGTCAACCCAGACCCAAGTAAATTGGGCCAAGCCAAATTTTGGACTCCGACTTGGACCAAATTTATACCCTAGGCCTCGTTTGGGAACAGGCTAATTTAGTAACTTTTTGGCTATTTTGCTAAAAAGGTAGGTAAAAAAAACTTGTATGTTTGGAATGACTT